ATGACAAAGATAAACATTTACTTGACCGTAGGCAGAGATGAAGATTTAATAATCTCTTCTGTGAATAGGAAAGTACAGGCAACTATTTTTTGTGACTTTTTCACATTTGATTGAACAGGTAAGAAAATGTAAAGGTTTAGGTTCCTTTTATAGCAGTGTTTATAAAGGGAATGGCTAATAAAGCTTTAGAGATCCTTTTTCTTTGCTAAATAATCTTTAATTTTTTTGTTACTAAATATTAGTTAATAACAATATTAAGATTTTTTATATTTGGTATACAGATAACATTACCTTAGGGATATCTTTTTTTAACTGATCTGATGACATCCTTCTCTATAAATTGTTGTTTTGAAATTATTGTACTGAGACTTTCCCTTAAGTATGTCAAAAACCAAATAGGTGCTTTTCAACTCTTGAATGACTATCACTAATATGCTAAAAAAAAGTTCAGATACCGATAGACTGAGCAGAGAACACAGTCTTATATCTGCATGTTTTTCCTTTGCCAGTGGGAGACAAAAGATCAGCAAGGGGAAAAAGATTTTGAACAGATCTCCAAAACCATTCGTGAGGAAGTGCAAAGATTTGAGGCATGTATAATTTTGTCCAAATAAATTACAGCTTTGTTTTAGATAATATTGATGTTCCAAGCAAACTTGGTTAAGAGGTTAATCTGCTATAATTATTTAATTTATTAACAGAGGGAACGAGTGAAAGACTTTAAAACTGTTATTATCAAGTACTTAGAATCATTAATGCAAACACAACAGCAGGTAAGAAATTTTAAGATTTTTGTACAAGTTAATACTTAATACGTTCCATATTAGGTTAGTTTAAAAAGGCAGGCTTTAAGTATAGCAGTTTCTAAAACATAGAGAATTAACTCTAGTCTGTAATATATTGCAGAACATAGTAATTGCTGTTTCCCAGCTATTACTGTTCTCACTTGCATAGCCCTAATTCAGGAGAGCAAGAGAGAAGCTTTGTCAGGGAAGTGGGGGGGAATGGAGGATCTTATAGACTCATAGAATTGTTTAGGTTGGAAAAGACCTTTAAGATCATCGAGTCCAACCATTAATCTAGCACTGCTGCCAAAAGTCCACCACTAAACCATGTCCCTAAGTATCACATCTACATGTCTTTTAAATACCTCCAGGGATGGTGATTCAACCACTTCCCTGGGCAGCCTGTTCCAGTGCTTGACAACCCTTTAGGTGAAGAAATTCTTCCTAATATCCAATCTAAACCTCCCCTGGTGCAACTTGAGGCCATTTCCTGTTGTCCTAACATTTCTTACTTGGGAGAAGAGACTGACTCCCGCCTCACTACAACCTCCTTTCAGGTAGTTGTAGAGAGCGATAAGGTCTCCCCTCAGCCTCCTCTTCTCCAGACTAAACAACCTCAGTTCCCTCAGCCACTCCCCATAAGACTTGTGCTCCAGACCCCTCACCAGCTTCGTTGCCCTTCTCTGGACATGCTCCAGCACCTCTGTCCTTCTTGTAGTGAGGGGCCCAACACTGAACACAGGATTCAAGGTGTGGTCTCACCAGTGCTGAATACAGGGGGATGATCACTTCCCTACTCCTGCTGGCCTTGTCTATTCAAGTAATACTTTTACTTGTAGATTGGAGTAAAATGCATTAAATATGTGCTTAGGCTTACTGAAGAGACTTGAATACTCAAATGCTTATCTGCTTTAAAAAAAAAAAAGTACTGAATATTGTACAGCAGTAAAACAGCTTTCAGTGACTCGGAATTAGGCCTGGTTCCCAAATGAGCGTCTGGAGTCTTTCCTTTTTTCAAACTGGGAATATAACCCTCCATCTTTGTTTAATAAAAAGAAAATAAAATAATTAAAAAACAAAACACCTTTAGAGGTAAGAATGGCAAACTCACCATGTGAACAAATTCTGTATAACTATATTCTGTGGCAATGTACTCAGTGTGTAAGAATAACTGTTTGCATGAGCAGATTTGTGTATTTATTACTCGTGGGTTTTTTGCATCATGTAATAATGTGAATGGATAATTAATGAATGGACAATGGATAATGTGAATGGAACCATCTGTGTTCTTACTTTGACCAGTGGAGACAAATTCAGTACAAGAGGAGGAAGGTGTATGTGTGTTCTTTTCCAACATTCAGTATTTAAACTAAGGTGGGGTTTTTTTCCTTCTCTGCAAGCTAATAAAATGCTGGGAGGCATTCCTACCTGAAGCCAAATCCATTGCCTAAAAGAAGACTATTCCAAATAACAAGAGACTCTGAATGTTTGTCCTGGATAAAAACTAAATTCCACACTGAAATCACTTCAAAATCATCCAAATAAACCACTATATATTTTATGAATTAACACGTGGTGGTTTTATATATCATAACATTTTATTAACAAGCTGTATGTCATGACCCTCTTTGAAGTGGACTGTGGCATGTTGTTCTGCAATACATTGCTGAATTGAACACTACTTGCACCAAAATGTGCACTGTAAGGCCAGAAAGCAGATATTTTTGTTCTTTACAATAGTGTTCTGTAGTATGTTTACCTGATCTTTGAAAGAAATTTAATTGCGTTGATTAATGTTCACTTACACATTCCTGTACAAAATCATGTTTCTGTGATTATGATAATAAAGAAATGTATCTTGTGAAACATTAAACTCTTTTTTTGTTTCTCTAGATATTTACTGGTGTTCTTAAAAGTAGCATTTATAACAGATTTAGATTAAATCAAAGGCAGTAACACATAGAATCATTGAATGGTTTGGGTTGGAAGGGATCTTTTAGAGATTGTCTAGTCCAGCCCCCTTGCAGTGCGTCAGTTGTCATGCATTGAGCATGCCAGCTTCACACAATATCATATGCTTGCAAATGGGCCTGGCCTCAGCACCCTGAGACACATTCTTTGGTATCTGATTCTTGGCCTGTGATTTGTCCTGTCTCTAGTGCTATCAGCATAAAGTAATTTTAATAGATTCTGATAGTTTGCTTGCGGAAGGTAAAGAATGCACTATGGATTGTGTCAGGTAGCTTTCTATGGCATGTAACATGGTAGAGGCCCTCATGATGGTGATAAACAAAGAGTATGGAAAAATAAGAACCCTATTTTGAGTGGTATTTAATTGCCCCCCTTCTCAACACTCTGCTGTGGATATCTTTGCTAACTCAGGTTCAAAAACTTAGCTGTTTAACAAAGCAATGTTATTTGTGCTTAATAGTTGTTCACAGGTGGAATATATAGACAAAAAAACAGTGGCATTGTTTCTCCCTATTCAAAAAGAAAAATATTCAAGAGATGTAAAAATATTAAGTAATACACCAAGGTAATAACACCAAGGCTAGAGAAGGAGGAGGATGTGGTGCTCTATGGCAGAGCAGATATTCTCTGCAGCATGTGGAGGACTTGTGACTGATCTGTTGTATATTCTAGAAGGAATTGCAGCCCATGGAGAACCCATGCCAGAGCAGAGCAGAAGTGTGAGAAGAAAGGAGGGGCAGAGATAAACCTTATATACTGAGCAGAACCCCCCACCCCCCTATACCTCGTGCACCACTCGGGGGTAGAGGAGTCTGGAGTGTAGCTGAGCCAGGGAAAGGGGGGAGGAAAGGTGGTGTTTTAATGTTTGTCTTTTTGTTTCTGACTACCCAAATCAGTAATTAAATATCTATTTTAATAGGCTATAAATTAAGTTAATTTTCCCCAAGTTGAGTCTGGTTTGCCTGTGATGGTAATTGGTAAGCAATCTCCCTGTCTTTATCTTAGCCCAAGAGCTTTCTTGTTCCTGTTCTGCCTATTTTCTTTCCCACTGCCCAGCCCTGCTGAAGGAAGGAGTAAGCAAGCTGCTGGGTGGGAGTTTGACTGTTAGCCAAGGCTAACCCACCACAGTCGGTGTTAATTATTTGGAGATTAAGTATTCCCTAAATTATGTTCTTTAACACTGTAAAAAAGAAAAAAGCTTGTATAATTCATACAGAAATTTATTTATATGCTCTAGAATATAGATTTGTGAAGTTACTTCATAAATTTTGGTTACAACAGTTATTTGGGAATTTTTAGATAACTAAATCTTTTGACTGTTTAGAATAATTTACTTGCATTATGAAAGAAGTATATGGCATACGTTTTACTCTTCCTTTGATACCACTTAGTTGATATTATTTTACTATTGATGACTCTGATCTTTGCATCATTTCTTTTCATCTGACATCCTTAATTAATTACTGTTTGGTTTTGGAGTCTGCAGAATAGCTCTTGAGAATTCTGCTGGCACCAGTTGATTAATGTGAAGTTGTTAATGTTAGTGATTTCATCTAAGAAACATTCAAAAACCATGTCAGGATTCTGTTCTTTAAAACTGTCAGATCATTAAACCTTGTTATTTTGAACATGTTAGTTTGAGTTAAGAAGGATTTCTCTGGAAAGCAAAAAATCTTTTAGTGAATCCTGTGGGAAGATCAGATTTTTATTCAATTGTTGTACATTAGTATGGCATACATGCCCATGCTTTAAATATTTTACTATTTTAAAAAATGTTCTTATTACTGTTAATGGTAACTCTGAGGAATATATAAAACTGCTTGAGCACAAACCATTTCTTTCTAGTTTTACAAAGGGAATTTCTAGCAGCAGTGTAACTGAGCACCCCACTAGCTAGTCTGTGCAAGTCTGTTGTTTTCTTACATACTTCACCTTCCATATTTGCTTAGCAGTTTTCCTTAACTAAGCAAAATTTTAAAATGAGCCTGCATTTTTCTCTTTCTGTTCCAAATATATTTTTAAAATACTATCACGTTATACAGTTCCTCAGAGGAATTTTGGATTAGGATCAGAACTCACTGTCATTGTAAATGACATTGCAAATTAAAAGAGAAAAGGAAAGTTGTAGGGCTTTTTTTGTTTCGTTTTGTTTTTTAAGCTCGAGGTAGATCAACTGTGGGAAATATGTTTTGGTTTTCCTTGGTGGTCTGTTCAAGGTCCCTGTATTGGGTCTGGCTGAGATGGAGTTAATTTTCCCCATAGCAGCCCTCATAGTGCTGTGCTTTGTACTGGTAGCTAGAAAGGTGTTGATAACACACCAGTGTTTTGGCTACTGCTGGGCAGTGCTGGCACAGCATCAAGGCTGTCTCTCCAACATTCCCCCCCAAAGGCCAGTAGGCTGGGAGTGGGAAAGGTCTTGGGAGGGGACACAGCCAGGACAGCTGATGCAAGCTGACCAAAGGGATATTCCATACCATATGACATCAGCTCAGCAATAAAAGCTAAGAGACAGGAGGAGTGGGGGGCATTCGTTTTCCGATGTTTGTCTTCCAGAGCAACCACTACATGTACTGAAGCCCCGTTCCCAGGAAGTGACTGAACATCACCTGCTGACGGGAAGTAGAGAATAAATCTTTTGTTTTCTTTTGCTTCCGCATGTGGCCTTTGCTTTCTGCTTATTAAACTGCCTTTATCTTGACCCACATGTTTGGTCATTTTTTCCATCTTAATTTCTCCCCCCCGTCCTGCTGAGGAGGGGCATGATAGAGCAGCTTGGGGGCACCTAGCATCCAGCCAAGGTCAACCCACCACATTCCTGTATAAGCTGATGTTTTAATGACCTCAATGATGGAATAGAGAATGTGCTTATTTAAATTTGCCATTGACACCAAGGTGAAAGTGACTGTGAATGTTCTTAAAATCAAGAGTAGAATTAATAATAAACTTGGTAAATTGGAAAGATTATTTAAGAAAGGAAAAATGGGGTGCAATTCAATAGGAACTGTTGGCAAGCGCTGCATTTAGCAAAAATAATCAGTAGCCCAGAGTAAGATCCAACAGATTAGATAATAGTTCTTCCTGAAAGGATTTGGAGTTTATCATGCATTACAAACTGACTGTGGGTCACAAGCTGACCATGTCACTAATGTCATGCTGTTGCAAAAAAAGGCAAATACATGTTGGAGTTTTGAAAGATGAATATAAAGTGTAAGAAAGAGGGAGTTATCCTTACCAATGACAAGTGGAATGTATACTGATCTCAAGTACCATGTCCAATTTTAGGTACTGCATTCCAAGAAAGATGCAAGTCAGTGGGAGAGAGAGACCACAGGAGAAAGCAATATAGGAGAAAATATTACTTATTACACTGCTTTCTAGATCTCTCATCAGTGAGAACAGAACACACTGGAGTTGTTCAGATCTAAAAAAAAAGGGAATGCTGAGCAGGAACTTTGTAACAATCCTCAATAACATAAAAGGCTGTTGCAAAGAGAGAGGAAACAAGCAATGTGTGGATTGGAGATGCTGTAGTCTTACACCCTACAATTTCTTGTCCTATCCACCAGAAGTAAGAAAGATTCATTAGGAAATGGTTTTGAGTAATAAAGATACTGCAGCATGGGGATAACTTCAGGAATTAAGTATGGAAACCCTGTCTTCACAGGGCTTAAATGTTTGTCAAGGGTAAGAAATACAGTTGATCCTGCCTTGAGACAGCAGAGTGAGTTAACTCACAGAAATATAGGGATAGAATAGACCTGAGAACTCTCAGTACTGGGAGAGCAAATAGACTAAACTATGCAGAAAACTTCAGTAAGCAAACTTTGTGGAAGTTTTGAAATCCAACTGACCATCTGTTCTAGGGTGGTTTTGAGGATTCCCAAGAAGGGTAGACACATATACACAGACTACAAGGGGAAAAGCAATAAGCGTTTATTAACTACAAGCATGCGTTACACTAAGGGTATCTTGCAAAGCAATTGTCTTACCGACCCGAGGACTGTGAGGAAGATGGCCCATCCGTACATTCTTGTGTCGTCTTGCGCCGCGCGCTCAGCCCAGCAGTCGGTAGGTGCCAGCTTTACGTGGGTGTCCCCACGGAGGCAACGGTGGCCATCTTTTAACCCTTCTGCTGCAGTTTTCTCACTGTCTACTTCTCACTCAGTGTCCAACTATGGACCAAAATTCCATCTTTTAACCCCTCCGTATACATGCCACCACGTGGTCCGTGGTTGGAACACAATGATATTCTACTATTCTTCTCACGGGCCAAAATTCCATCTTTTAACCACTCTGCTGCGGTTTTCTCAGCTATCTATTTCTCAGTCAGTGTCCAACCACGGACCAAAATCCCATCTTATAACCCCTCCGTATATACCATCTCCTAGCAAAGTCTTCTTAAACCTTTTTTGTAAGCCTCCTCTTATAACTCAGTAATTTGTTCTTTGTGTTATTTGAAGAATTTTACTTCTGCCCATACACTAATCTTTTCTCACTTATCAATTATGCAGCTTTCTGAAACTCTTGAAAGATCACCCAAAATAGCTCTGTTCTCTTCTGTTCCAGTGCTGTTTCGTGCTGCTGTTCCCCACTGTTGATTTGTAAAAAAATTAAACCAGGACCTTCGTTTGACAGTCCTTGTGTTTTCTGTTGGTGTCTCATTACTGTCTAGATGGAAGACAAGGCAACAGTTAAGGACAAAGAACCTGAAACTGTTGGGATCACCCTGCAAGGGCTCGACCTTAAGGAGAAGGAGCTGTGGCATTGATCTGCACGGCTCGGCCTTGAGGAGAAGGAGCTGTGGCATTGAGAAGCTGGTAAACAGCTGGACACCTGCAGGGCTCAGCCTTGAGGAGAAGGAGCTGTGGTAAACAACTAAGAGAAAGTAAAGGAG